TCCCCATGGTAGGGAAAACAAACCTGGACTCACACGCAGTTTCTCCTAGTCTTCACTCACAACATAGCAACAGAGCATCAACAAAAAGAATTCAAAAGATGTGGAGGTTTCTCCCTACCAGTGAGCACGCCATTCTGCAGCAGGGACACCAGCAGTGTCCAGTTCAGTCCAAGTAGCCCTTGCTCTCGACTTGATACCCAGATATCCCACAAGTTGAGGGCTCAGCTCCCAAGACTACTGCTCCACTCAGCCCTGCTGTTGATGCCAGCTGCAAACCCAGGTTGCTTTACCTGTGCTTCTGGCCAACTGGCTATAAATCAGATTCTTCCTGGCCTCTCTGGGCAGCATTCCTCCCTCCAAGTTATGGGGGAAGACCCTCTGGAATGACCTACTATCAGACAAGGAAAGGTGAGAGAATTTCTTCCGGGCTGGCCCAGGGCAGAAGGGCAGGGAAAGATTAGCATTCTATGACTCTCCTCAAAGAACTTGTGGCTTCTATGGCCTGTCTTGGAGCATGATGTGCTTTGGGGAGGACATTATGAGCAGGAACTGTGGACAAGAACAAAAAAAAAAATATATGTTGTAATATGACACCCAGCACTTCCTCATAATGTGTTCTTGGCTAAGTCCAGCTTCTCTTCGCCCACTCCCAGCCTCTTTCCTCCCTGTAAAGAGTGGATGCCTATAGTGTGGGTCCCTCGGGATGCCTCCCCTGCACCCACCTCTGATGGACAAACCGCCTCACTCTGTTTAGGCCTCATCCAGGTACCTTAAGGCAGCCCCAGAGCAGGAAGGAGGTGGCCACCCACCCTCCAAAGGCTGCTCAGGCATGGCCTTACTGCCCTTTGGGAAGGGACTGCCTTGGCATTGCCACCAACTGGATGGGATTCTAGAAAATGTATCTCCTATGGCCCGGGAGAGTTATCTCGGGGAAGCAGGGGAAGGGATCCTCACTGGTCAACCTTTCTGGATTGCTCTCCAAGCTCACCAGAAGGCAGTGTGGTCTCTACTGAGCTCTCCCACCTATCAGCTGTGGGGAACATCTCCTCCCCTGTCAGTTGGGGCTAACAGTAGTAGACAATGTTTCTATCATCTGTCCAGCATTCCTCCTTTCCTTTCTCCATCTTGGGAGTCTTCTCCTCCCAACATTGACTCAGAAAGGGCTGTCTTGGCACCCATGATCCTGTCCTCATAGGTGATGGCCCACAGCTTGACACCTGACCAGAACCAGGCTCATCAGAAGACTTCCAGAAAACATCTGTGGTCTGGAGGCTCAAGAGTTATCACTAGCCACATACCCTTCCTCGTGGCAGAATAATCTAGAGAGAAAGGCAGGAGAGACAGAGACAGAGAGGGAGAGACACAGAGGCAAACAGAGTATGTTCTAGCAGTGTGGGAGTCCCTGGCTCCAGCTATGTGTGGGCTGTTAGCCCTCCTCAGTTTGGAAGGTCTCACCTCCTAGAGTCTAGGAGTCTCCTTGGTGACTGGCATTGTGTTCCCAGAGATGCCCTTCTTCCCAGGTTATGGGTAGGATCCAGTGAGCCACCGTGGATGAAGCACTGCAGGCTGAGTAGACATGAATTCCTTTCCTTAATGGGCACCAGGGCAATGGGGCTTGGCGAGATGTCAGGAAGATGGGAGGCATCAGTGCTTGTGAAGTGGTGTAACTTAGCAGCCCCTGGAAGATTAGAGTCAAGAGCCCTTGGACCCTGCAGAGCACCACAGGGGACCAGAATGAATGTCCAAGTAGATTATTTGTTTTTGTTTTTGTTTTGGTACTGAGGATCAAACTCTGGACCTTGCACTCTCAAGTCAGGTGCCGGAACCACTGAGCTAAATCCCCAGCCCTAAGTGGATTATTCGTTAGCTAGGAAATGACAGAGCCCTATCCCTTTGTGGGAGAAACTGTCAGCAGGCACTTCCTGTGCCAGGCATGTATTCCAGGGTCGCTGGGGTCTATAAGATGGATACCAAAAAAGGTTTTCTAGAGGTGAGACAACTGAGTTGTGATTTAAAGGATGCATATGACTTTATTAGGCAGGGTAAGGGCCTGGGAGGAGTACTGGACTATCATTACCATTAGTAGAGCTAATGATCATGAGGATTTAGATGCCCTGGGTTTGAATACTTTCTCGACCATTCATGGCTTTCTCTAAGCTTTTGTTCCCTTATGTGCAAATAAAGAAATTTCAGGGTTTAAAAGAGGCTTAAATGAGATAATCCATGTAAAGTATTCAGATTAATATGTTGTCAGAAATTCGTGGTCAAGCACTCAATAAATGCTTAACTGATTATGAAAAACTTCTATTACATGATCACACTCAACCCTTAAGATGATCATACCTGTTATTATCTATTGAGCCCTTACATTCCAAGCACTGAGCTAAATGTTAGCGTGCTTTGTCATTTAATCCTCCCACCAACACATTAAGGATGGGCAAATCTATCCAATACTACAGAGCCAGTGTGGATCACACAGACCAGGATTCAAACCCAGGTTTGTCTTAAAATTTGTACTCTAGGTGCTGAGAAGGCAAGGCACTAGCACCAGACACACAGCAGGGGACTGTGTTGCCAGATTTCCCTAACGCAGACCCAGGGCAGTAATGTGGCTGGGAGTGATTAGGGCTGGGCTTGCCTCTCTAAGGACACACCCACTGCAGCTGCACCTGCTGAGCCTCCCCATCCTCCATCCCCAGCCTCTGCCCTCCAGAAGAGGAGGGGGCTAAGGAGGGGCTGGGCCCACAAGGCTGCGGATGGGGTGCGCAGGGCGGAGCCGAGCTGAAGCCTCCAGTCCGGCCGCGCCTCTCTTCCCCTCCCTTCCCCGCCCCCTGCTGCTTCCGCCAAAGATCCTGGTAGAAAATTCCAGCCTCGCCCTGGCCGCGCGGCCCCTGAACTGGGTTTTTCCAAGGAGCACGTCCTGAGGGTGCCGCCCCCGCGCTGTCCTGGGGCTCACAGCTCGGCGTTGTCCCAAGGCCACCGGCCGGCCCTGACTCCTTGAGGACCGGTGGGCGGGCCAGGGGAGCCGGTTCGGGACGTCCTGGAAAACAGGAAACCAGACAAAGGCGGCCGCTTATCGCCCCCCCCCCATCCCGCATTCCTTTCAGGTGATGCCCGCAGGCGTGAGGGACGCGGGGCCGCCGGAGGGGCTGCCAGGGCCCCTGGAGGAGGACCAGTCCGAGCCAGCACCAGGTGATGGGTGACCTTGGTGATGGGTAACGCAGTGACAAGGCCACCTCTGCCTTCTCGGTCTCCTGGGGGTTGGGCGAGGTGGAGCCCTGTAGTGCACCCCCACACACAAAGGAAGAGACACCAGGTGGCACCTGCCTGTGCTGGGTGCTGCTCTGTGTCTTGCGGTGGTCTTGGCTCTTGGATGCTCACTGAGATTTGCAGGGAGGTCCACAAACAGGACTTGGGCGGAAAGTAAAGATTTCTAGCAAGTAAGTTTATTGGGGAGAGACACAGTGCACCCTAGACAGGGGTGACTTTTACAAAAGTAAGAACTTGGGAGAGCTTCAAGAGGACAGAGCAGAGGTGGCAACTGTCAGAATGAACACGCACCCTCAAGAAGGAGGATGAGATTGCAGGGAGGTCCAGGGTTGTTTTTTCGTTTGTCTTTCTAGAAAGAGAGGTGAGTAGCAGAAGTGGTAATTTCTTTCCAATCAGCTGTGAGTCTCCTCCCTCAGGTCCAGAAGGGGAGTCTTTTGAACTTATATGGTCTTACTCTGAACAAGCATGCTGGCCAGAGCCCATTAGGGGAGTCAAAACCACAATGCAAATATATGTAAATGAGGCCTAATTGAGGTAGACAGGTCACCATTGACCAACTTGGGGCCAGTGCCTCTCGATGTGATTGTGTGGGATTAAAAAATGTAAGACTGGACAGGACAGGGAATTTGCAAGGGGGCTTCTTTTCCAGAAGCTTGGGGACCGCACACTCTGGAAATCTAGACCATGGCCTTTCTTAGAGTCCTGTCTTAGGGCCCTGCTGCTGGTCTCCCAGCTCCAGCTCATTTCTGGCCGACTTCCTACTCTATCGTGCCTGGAGGAATGGGGCTGCTGAATCAGTGGAGGGAAACAAAGGTGAAAAAAATTGGCTGGAGTCACTCAGTCATTCCACAAACTGGAATGCCACTGTACAGCAGGGTAACCCGTACGCATGTCAGGGCCCACTGAGGAACCAGCCCCGACCTGCCCTCAAGGAACTTCCGCACAGTGGGGAAGTAGGCAGACACCCAGATAAGCGAAATACCAGGTGAGAGGACCAGCACCAGATGAGCTGCAGGAGGCAGTGTCTGAGCTGTGCTGGGCAGTTTGGGCTGGTTTGGGGGATCATAGGTCCATTACACAGTCCCTGGCATATGCGTAGCTCTCCACAGGTACTGTCTGTGTGAGGGAACACTGGAGCTGGCTTTGAAATAGAAGGATGGGGTGGATGGCATGGAAGGGCATCCGGATGGGGAAATGCATATGCAGATGCTCCGTGGTCTACCTATGTACTGACCATCTGAGGAGCTGCTTGGGCACTGGCCAGGTCCTGAGGGCCATGAAAGCCAGGCTGAGGTATGCGGGCTGGCAGGCGAGGTGAGAAGAGGGCTCTTGGGCTGCCTAGCTTGGCCCAGGAGAAGGGGAAGTTGAGAGCCCTATGCCTGGGTGGCTTGGAGAGGCTGATCTGCAGAGACAGAGGTCCCAGCGCTGTGGGATGGTGCCCCCTTGCCTGCTGGGCCCGGGTGCTAGTTCTGCTGATTGGTGGATTGGCTACCCCTTTCGCAGCTGAGTCAGCATCTGAAAGTTGGTTCCCATGGCCTACATTTCTCTGGGGGCCAAAGGCCATGCCATATCTGCCCACCCTCCAAATGGGTCAGGACCCTGGGAGCTGACAATTAGGACTGGATGGAGGCTAAGAGTTCTAGTCCACCCACCCCCACCAACCAGGGACCAGGCAGTCCTTTCATGCTCAATTCTGGCCTGGTCCTCCACTCCTGGAGGGTTCAAGATACTGTAGTTATCAATACTTTGGTTTTATTTTAAACAGTGAAAAGGAAAATAAATATCTTTGAAGAATAAGAATACAGGAATGGGGTGAGGGAGTGGACCTGGAGATTGGGGGTGCCTGGCTTCCGTGGTCTTTGGCTGGGGAGCCAGAGGTCTGGAATCTGCAGGCCCCTCCTCCCTGGGCAGGCTCTGCTGCATCATCTCGGGAAATCTGGGCCTTGCCCGCCCTGCTCCCAGGCCCAACTCGCAGGCCCCTCGCGGTGCGGTGTCAGCCGATCTGTGGGATTAGAGCCGGCGCCGCCTGCGCCCCAGGCTCTGTCTGGCCCCTGAGCGCTGCGCCCCCTGGGGGCTCTTCTACCGCTGCTGTCTGCCAAGACCCCGGGCCAGGCCTGGCTTGGCCTAGTGCCCGAGACGTCAGCGATGACCCATGTCCTCCATGCCCACGCGGCCCCAGACGCCCAGCACGAAACTCTCGATGTCACACTCGTTGCTGCCTCGAAGGATGCGGAAGTAGCCCCTTTCACCCCAGGATGGGCCCCACGAGTTGGCCGCAGTCTGGGAAGAAGAGGGGCCATGAGGAAGGGAATGGGAGTGAGGCAAGGGCAAGAAGAAAGAAAAGGGACAGGGCTTCAGGGTGCACTGGTGGCGAGAAACTCACCCAGTATTTGAGTGTCCTTCCATCAGGCAGCATCTCCTCTCCCCACCTGGGGGCAGAGTGGGGGGGGGGGGGGGGGGCACTGGTTGCACCTGTTCTCGGGGCAGGAACCCTGAGGCCTCCCCTGCAGATCTTGTTGATTTTGGAAACTTGGGTGCAGCCTGGGCCTTGGCCCGTCTATCCCTCTCTGCTCTGCCTCAGTCCTCACCACTAAATCTGTATATCTGAGCTCACCAAGGATATGGGGAGGGGAAAGCAAAAGAGGAGGGATCTTGGGCCTGGTCCTCCAGGACCCACATGCTGGGATCCGTTCTGTGGGATCTCACACATCTGTCTGCCCTCTCTCACTTGGGGACCTAGGGCATGTGGGTGTAGCGACCAGAGGGAAAAGACCCAGAAAATGTGGGTGCCTTAGAGGCCCCAAACTCCCACTGCAAAACAAAACACATCTTGTTGGTTGGACTTACGGCTACTAACAATAGTCAGCAAATGACTAACAAACCAATGACCCTAACACCTCCTGCTGTATCAGAAGGAGCACCTGAGGGCCAGGAGTGACCAGCCTAGGTCACTCAGTGAGTCTGCCAGAGTTGGGACAGGTACCAAGATGGGGAGAGGTTAAGCAGCTCTTGGATCCTTGTCTCTGTTTCTCTGGAGTTATTTGTTCCCATGTGTGAGGAAGGACTGCTCCTAGAATCCCTTCAAAAGTTCCGCATTCACGAAGTGACCCAGAGCCACACCCTCTTCTCTGAGTCTTAGTTTCCTCTTTTGGAAATAAGGAAGCAGTTCTGGCTTTGCAGAGATCTCAAAGATTCAAAGCAGGCTTCAGTGTCCCCAGTGCAAACCCTGCTGCCCCTACACCCCTCTGCCCATAAGCCCCTTACCCTGTGATCTTGACCGAGTGGGTCCCATGTCGCCGGTATTGCTCCGGCCTCCCCATGCTCACAAGTGTGTGGCTGTAGATGCCGCTCTTGTACAGGAAGAAGTCCTCATACACCTCCATGAGTGCTTCGGGCAGAGACCAGGGTGGGGCGCACTCAGCCAAGCCTGTGGCCCTGTGGCTACGTGCCAGAGCCTCAACCTTGTTACTACGTATCCCCTCCTGGGGCTGCCTGCAGGGAAGGGACATGTTCCCCATACTCCCAGCCCCAGTGGACTTGTTGTACAGACCATGTGGGCCACTGTGCCCACCTCAAACAGACACAGGCTTCTGGAGCCAAGGGCAGGACAAGGGGCATTTACCTTGGACGGGACCATTCTCCATCAGCTCCTTCATGATCTCCTTCTCCTGAGGGTGGGGGATGAGCAGAAGAGCAGCCATTGAGGGTGGGGACTCCAGCCTTTGGCCAGACCGCACCTTCTGTTTCTGCCCCTCACCCATGTGCAAACTTACATCGGAACCCAGGCGGTAGGCAGGAGTGACCTGGTAGATTTCATTAGCATCATCGTGGCTATTAGGGCAGCGACGAGTGGCCTGGCGCTTACCCCGGCCCATGGCCCGGCTGTGCATCATGCAGGGGGTTGCTGGGCCAGCCTCGGCCTGCTCATGGCCAGAGAATGGATAGCAGTGGTCAGATACCACCCTGGGGAGGCAGCGGAATGGAGCATGGTGGGTGACATGGTGCCACACAGCCCAAGCACTGCCCACAGGATGTCCTGCCCCATTCCCCGCCCACACCCCTGCTGCATACCCTCGACGGCGCAGGAACCACCAGGCACCATCAAGGCGCCCGCCTTGACAGCCCTGCTGGTGGTGGGTGTCACAGGACAGCAGGTTCTGGGGTGACAGGACGGGCGTCATGTGTCCCATAGAGTGGATTGAGACTCGATCAGATGCCACAGCTAGTGGAGGAGACAGAGGGGCTGTCAGGGCTGGGCTTTGGCTCTCTTCCCATCTTGTGCTAGCCCAGCCCCAGACACACCTGCTGTGGAGAAGGCCCAGGAGCCTGCACAGTTGCCCTGGTCAAGTGGGTCATGGATCATGTTGGGCCACTTCTTAGAAGCCTCGAAGGCCTTGGGCAGCACCTCCCCCGGGGCCAGCACCGTCTGCAAGGCAAAGGTGGCCCTGACTGCCTCCTGCCCTGGCCTGGCCTGCCCTTCAGAAGCCCAGGCATTGGTGGGCCCCTGTGAATCCAGGGCCTTCCACAGCTGGATCTGCAGCCCGCTTGCTGCTCTGGGTTTCCAGCTACCTCCAACTTGGATGTGAATGGAAGAACCAAAGACCATTTAGTGCCTCTGAGGTATCAAGCAGGAGGTGACTGGTTCCTGAAGCTAGCAACACGGATGTGGCCAAGCCAGGGTCACCAGCTTTCCTTTCTCAACCCTGGCCTCCTTCCTATGCACCTTCTGATCTGCCACACCCTCCTTTCTACCATGGCCCTGGCCTCCAGGTCCCAAAGGGCAGAGTAGGGAAAAAGCAATAAGGTCCCGTGACCAGGCAGGCTGCCAAGACAAACATCAGGAGGCAGAAAATAGCCACAGGCCCAGGGAAGTAAGGGCAGGGGCAGGGGCTGGTCACCCTGGCCTTGGGCAGAAGTCCTTTCACGGCGAGGGCCAGCCATTGTCTCTCTCCTGGTTACCACTGACGGGCAGGTCCTCCAGCATGTACCCCAGCCCAGTCCTGCTGCAGGAAGCTCCCTTCCTCACCCTTTGATGTTTTGGGTCTGGTTCCCATCCCCTCTGCCCCTACTGGGTCCCATTAGTGGGAAGGGAGAAGCCCTGTCCTCCCTGGGGGTTCTGCTGAGTCGGCATTTGTCCTAAGAACTGCTGCTCTTTGGCCAAAGCTGGAAGAGTATCTGTCTCTCCTTTCCTAAAATGTGAAGGTGACCTCCTGGCTCCTTGGGCCCTGACCCAACTGCACTAGGACTAACAGCATTTTTCCCAGGCTGAGGAGGGAGGGGGGCCTGCTGGGTTTACTACACAACTCAGAATCTGAGCTCAGCACATCTAGTGAGCCACTTCTTATAAAGAGGAAATAAAAGCCCAGAGGGGAGTGATCTGCCCAGGGACGCACAGTGTCTTAGTAGGGGACAGCATCCCTAAAGTCCTAGGTATGAGGAGATGGTGGGATGTGGGCAAGGGTGGGCTCACGTAAATCTCATTCATGTTCATGACAGAGGAAGATGGGCGGATGGTGCCCAGGCGGTAGCGAATGCCCGAGTCCAGTGTCATCCCCCAGAAGGCGCTGTGGTTCCCAGCCTGCCACCTGAAGAAGAAGGGATGGGGAAGTCAGAGGCCTGCGGCCACATGTGTGTGAGCATGTTCCCCAGTGTGACATGCAACTCAGGCAGAACACATGTGTGGCCGCTCTGGGTATGGCCAGGGCGTCTCACCCGTAGTTGCCCTGGTTGATGGCGGCGATCATGTCTGGGTCCACTAGGCATGGCTCCTGGTCACACTCCCACTGCCCTTTCTCCTGGCAGGTGCTGATGAGAAAGGAAGGGATGAAAGCTTGAGTGGGGGCCTGGGAACACTCAGAAGGGTCAGAGCCTCGGAGGTTAACATGGGCCTAGCATTCTGTACCAGCAACTATGGATACAGAATCTAGACGATTGCCCCAGCCTGGTGGCTTTAAATGTCAACTTCGGGCTCACGATTTTCCTCCTCCCCTCTTCTGCCTAGGTCTCTGTCTGAACTCCAAGATCAAGAATCAGGCTGCCACTCAACATCACTAGGCGGGTATCTAACACCGACATAACACACCCCAAACCAAATTTCCTAATCTCTCTTACTGTGGTTCTCATAAAATGGCAACTCCGTCCTTCCTGGGGCTCACACCAGAAACCTGGGAGTCCTCCTTGACTTTCTCTCACAGGCTGCGCCAGCCATAGGCACATACACTTGGATCTACCTTTAAAAACATATCCAGAATCCAAACCATGTCTCATTCGCTCCTGCAGCCACCGTAGCCCAGCCACCTCACCTGGAGTTCTGCTCAGTCTCATTGCTCGGGCATCTGCCCTACATCACCCTGTGTCTCTCCCCCCCCCCCCCCCCAGGATATTTTTAACACAATTGCTAGAGTGATCCTGCTAGACCTAAGCCGTATCATGTCATTCCTTTGCCCAAAACTCTCCGTTAGCTTTACGTCACAGAATAAGAGCCAAAGTACCGAGGTGATGACAAGCCCTTCAGGATCTGTCCTCCTGTCCCCTCTCGGACTGACCTCCTCCTCTTCCTAGTCCTGGATTTTTTCCCCAGTACTAAGGATTGAACCCAAGACCATCACACTGAGCAACACCCCTAGCCCTTTTTTATTTTTTATTTTGAAACAAGGTCTCAGTAAATTGCCCAGGCTGTGCTTGAACTTGGAATCCTCCTGCCTCAGCCTCCCAGAGTACTGGATTAAAGGCTTGTACCATGCCGGCTATAGTCCTGGAATCTAAGGCTGCAGGGAGGCTGATTATTTTCACTAGCTGTACTTCTGCCCCAGGGCCTTTGAGCTGCTCTACCTCCCACATCCCTGTGGCTCACTTTCATTTCTTCCAAGTATTCATTAGAATCTCACCTTTCCCAGGAAGCCTCCTCTGGCCAGCACCCTCATACTTTATGTCTCATTTTCCTGTCATAATGATTTCCTTACAGTGTCTTCCCTAACCCCGGCCCCTCTTCACTTCAGATTCATATCCGGCTGACCTCCCGACACCCCTGGGCAGGTAGAATAGTCCCGCATTTAAAGTAGTCACACAGCCTTCCCCAGCCTGCTCCTCCCTGCAGCCTCAGCCAGGCGCTGTGTTCTGTATTCAGATATGAGTGCCGCTGGGGTCTGTGGTATACCCCACGAGCCCCCCATCAGCAGGTCCGGGGTATGGCAGGTGGTGAACCCATCTGCGTCTCCCACTTCCCCAGCCAGTGTCCCTCTCCAGTCCCCCTTCACCTCTCCCCTGGGCAAGGACAATATTTCCTGATCAAGCCTCTTTCTCATCCCCCTGCTGCACTCAGCAATCCATCCCCCACCTGCACTAAAGCCAGAGAGATCAAAGAACAGTATCAGCCAGATCACAAGCTCTCTAAGGGGCTCTTGGTGACACTTGGGACAAACCTTGACAGCCCATGACACACAGCAGCATGTCCTCCAGGCCTTTCCCAGCTTCTCTGCGCTCTCAGCTCCCACTGAAATGACCCCATCCTGTCTCCTGGCCTCCCAAAAGTTGTGCCCCTTCCCCCTATACCCTGTCTTCTACTCACTCCTAGGTATCACCATAAGTGTCCCATCCTCAGTGTGGCCTCCCCTCTTCCTGTGGTCCCCTCCCCACTCTAAACTGGGATCTGCATTGTCTTCTCTTTCCCCCATAACACCTACAACAGCTTGTTATGATATATCTGTGATGTTTCCATGGCCCTCATCATTAAACTAGAAGTTCCCGTGGGACAAGGACTGTGTCTGTTGCATTCTGGCTGCACCTCCTGGGCCCAGCACAGTGCCTGAGATGTGGTAGGACTTTAATAACTAGGTCTTGGCTGAAGGGTTGAATTCTATGCATTCTGCGATGCTTTTACAAGCTCATAACTCTGCTATTACAAGATGCTAAACTGTCCTTCCAGGCCAGCCTGAGGCACCCGCCTCCAACGTCGCCTTATAAGGTGCCTCAAGGAGAGCCAAGTGGCGGTACAGTTGGCTCTACAGCCCCAAGCCAGCGGGTGGCTCAGGGAGGGCCCAGAGAGTCTGCGGGGGTGTGTGGAGGCTCCTTGTCCTTCCTTTCTCCTCTGCACATTCTGAGCAGCAGTCACAGGGGCCCTCAGGCAGTATCCCTAGAGTGCGCGCACAACTGCAAGATGCATAGATATCCCCACACCCTCTCTCAGGTGCCGGGTGCCGGGAGCACAGCCACGGAGCTGTTTTAAGGGTCAGGCAGGGGTTGGTCAGTGCTTTCTGGTCCCCAGCTCCTGTGCCCCAGGGCTGCCTGAGCAGGCTTAGACAGGACTAGTGGCAGCAGGTCCCAGCATTCCAGAAGGGGCCTGGGACAGGAGTGGGATAATGTTAACCCCTCGGTGTCCACCCTGTCAGAACTTGCACAATCCTGCAGGCACGCCCCACCCTTCTGAACACACGTACACTGCACATGCACATTCTCTCACTCTGACACAGGCTGACCCGCATGCATGTGTCCCCACACTCACTGTGACCCAGGCAGCCCTCAGCCCAGTGAGGCAATGGAAATAGCTATGGCAACGCATTCCAAAAAGTTTCCTTCTCCCTGGGGACTCTCCATCCCGGGGAAGAGGTGGGGGTAGAGTGGGTGCAGGGCCTCCTCCTGCAAGTCCTAGGGACCCCGGTATTTTCGGCCTTCAGCTGGCTACCCAGCCCTTCTCCACCTCCCATCTCAGACTGAGTGTAGAAGGCACCCCTGGCCTCTTCCTCCTCCTGCCAGGAATGGTGGGGAGCAGTGGGGAAGGGAGGCCACATTCCAGGGAAGGCCCTGCTACAGGCTGGCCAGCTGCCAGCTCAGGATCCCTGACCCTTGTCCGGCCCAGGGCAGCGGATGCTGCACTCAGAGATTTCCTTCCTGGCGTCCCCTTCTCGGACTCTCCCGTGACAGCAAGAACAGTCAGGAGGGGCAGTGGCCCTGTCTGAGCTAGGAGAGGCGGGGAGGACTCCCAGCTCAGGGGTGGTACCTGTACGGGGCAGCCATGGCTGACCACTCCCAGGAATGTTGCCGGAACGCTACTGTATAAGCTGGCACACTCAGTGTGAAAATTCCCACGTAACAGATGAGAAAACTGAGGCTCGCAGAGGGGAAAGGACTTGTTTCTAGTAAATGAGTGGCAGGGATAGGATTTGAACCAAGTCTGTTGGCCAGGGGGGCCACCATGAGGACCCCCTCCATGGTCCAGACACTCACCAACGGTTACAGTTGTCCCAGTACGTCCCAAAGACTGGGTAGATGCGACCCCCGTGCATACATCCTGGTGGGAGGGAAGAGGACAGGAAGTGGAACCAGACTGGAGATGCTGCGCTGGGATGGTCAGGTCCTCAGCAAACAGAGACCCCAGACCCTCCCAAAGTCACCTCAGCCACATGCACATCTTTAACACTCAGTGAAACTAAAGCCAAGCTATAACTGAACTCCTCTCCTACAGTCTCACACACCAACTGCTCCATGGCAAGTTATTCAGTGACTATAACTTGGATGCCTCTTGCTTCACTTGGATGCCAGCCACAGCATTCCTGGGATCCTTTGCCACTTAAATGAGTTGGGGCTTGGATATGGGCCATGGAAGGGGCATGGGAAGCTGAGGCTCAGAGAAGGTAAGTGACTTTCTTAAAATAGCACAGCGCTGTGGGTTAGTAACTCAAGTATACACTCCCCTAGCACAGAACAATGGGTAGAATTACGGTGCTTTTTCTATTGGACAGAGGCGAGTGCTCAGAGAAGGCTGTAGTGAAGGTGGTTAGAACCGCCTCCAAGGTATGAGCCATCCCAGGGCACTGAACCCTGAGCAGAGGCAGGAGAGTGGCTAAGATGTCCCAGCCAACCCCCATCTGCTTTATCAGTCCAAGGGTGAGTCGGTAGGTGGGACCAGCACCTTCCACATCCTGAATGGAGACAGGACAGGAGAAAGGGCGGGAGGCTGGCTGCCCTCCCTCTGGGCCAACTTAGAACCTGACCAAGGATCTCCTCTTTCAGTTTTGCTGGAGAGAGTCAAGTTAGACTACAGGGGGCCTTCCCAGAAGGACAGGGAGTGTGGCAGGGTCTCTTTCCCAGAGTCTACAAATCCTCCCCTGGAAATGCCTGTGTATCTTTAACCTTGCTCGGGCATCTTGCTGAGCATGAAGTTGACAACATGAGCTGCCCTCCTGACCAACTTGGTGCCTACCTTGGACTGGGGGGAAAGGGGGTGCCACGCCGAGGCAGAAGTCCCAGAAGTCAGGGCAGCAATCGGAGACAGTACGGTTGCAGAAGAGATCACAGTAACAGGTGGCTCCCAGGTAGGGCAGGGAGCAGTCGTCAACGCGGCCATGGCAGCACAGGTCCTGCTTCTGGCAGTATGAGCCTTCTGCATCCCGGATGCCACGCAGGTGCAGCCCTGGGGCCAGCTCCCGGCGCCAGCGACCCTGCCGGGCACCCAGGGCTACCTGGCCAGCCAGCAGAAACAACAGCAGCAGCCCCATTGGACAGCGCCACATGGTGCCTCCTGGGCCCCGAGGGAGGTCAGCAGTCAGAGGTGGTGGGCATCAGACCCCCTGGCACAGCAAGACAAATATCCCCACTTCCTGGAGCTGGGAACCCATGGGCCCCAGCAACATGGGGGGGGCAGGGTCTTGATACCTGAGCCCCCAGCAGGACTCAGTACAGGAGCTGCTGCCTATGTGCCCTGGCTTCTAAGGGGAAGGGACTGGGGAAGAAATGGTGTCCCTCCCTGACCTGTGGGATGGTCAAGGAAATGGGGGCTGTGGCATTCTTGGGACCCCCGCCCAGGACCCATCCTTCAGACCAAGGTCTTTTCTCCTGTACCAGGTCCCTCTGGCCCTCTGTCATCCCTGCCCTGTGTTCTTACATTTCTGCCTTCATAAGTCATCCCCCAGCCACCTCCTGACCAGTCCTCCTATCTCCTCTTCTCCTCTCTGTGTCTCTCTGCCCTGCTCCACTGTGCCTCTCTCTGGCACCAGTCTTGGTGCCTCTGCCTGACCCCTCCTCCCTTCCCTCCCTAGATGTCAACACCCTCTGCCCTCTAAGCTGGGAGCGTCCCTACCTGAAGAGGGGTGTGGGCTGGGCCCAGGGTGCCCTCCGCCTCCTGGCTCTGGGACTGCTTGCCGGACACAAAGTCAAGTGAGGAGCACGGGGCGGGACAGCTTTTGTACCGCCCCGCCGCCGGCCGTGCCCGCCCCAGCCGCCCACTGGAGGAGGGCGGGGCCGCCCATTTGCACCTGGAGTAGCCCCTAGCAAGCCCACCCAGGGCTGGCTGAGGACCACAACCCTGATTGTCCTCCCTAGTGCTCTGGTCAGTGGTGGCCATACCCTTGGGGGTCAGAACTGTAACTCAAGCAGAAAGGATCACAGTCTGACACTAGGAGGGACTTCCCAATGGGCTTTATTGTGGAGCTAAGAGCTCTCCTAGAGAAGGAGGGATGGGGAGACCCTCGGTTCAGGTTTTTGGACGACACGATAGGGAGGGTGCCAGGGGCAAAAATATCTAAGCCCGCCTGTGGCCACTCAGTAAGAAAAATACCATGCTCACCTCACTTCACAATGACCCCAGGCTGGAAACCACCCCAAATCACCTCAGCTCCCAAGAATGCTTGGAATCCCGAGGAGATTGAGTGAGGAACCTGCAGGCGCCCTAGAGATTCATCCTGAGGAGCTGGGTGTGGTGTGTGGGTGGCTTTGCACCCTGTGGCCTCTCCTGGGTTCTGTGCTGGCACCTCACCAAGTGCCGCCCCTCTGTCAAACACAAGGACATCCTATTTGGCACCTGTCCCCTCTGAGGGACTGAAGGCGAGAGCCCTGCCAGCTGGCGCCCCCTGCACAGCCCCCTCTTCCTGCCTCAACCCTAACCCTTCCTTTGCCCAGGCTGGCCTGGGCACCGAACAATGAGGCTTCTGTCCTTCTAGGCCTGCCTTCTGTCACCTTTTACCCCATTGCACAATGCTTCCTCTTCCGACAGGTTGGTTGCCAGCCAGAGGACTCCACAGGCAGGGAGGGAGAAAGAGACTATACCTGGACAGGTCTGGGTCTCCAGTCTGAGCAGCGCATGCCACCTGGGAAACACTGGGGTTCCCTTTGCCCCTCACTGCACCCTCTCCCACCCTGGCATCTGCAGCTGGCCAGCCCCTGGTAGAGGGGAGAGCCTGGGACAATGGACACTTGTGGCTGGGTTACCCCCTGCTAGGGGGCATCAAGGCTGAGTCACCAAGGGTCTCCTTTCCTGATGGTAGGGGTAGAGGGGTAGTGCTCTGGGGCCCCAGCACTGGCATTCACATGTCCAGGGGCTGCCCATCTGCTCTTGCAGTGAGTTGAGTGGACAAAGCCTAAAAGAGAAACTGAGGCTCAAAAGAACAGACTTTTCCAAGATAGGCCAGCCAGAACATAGACTTGCTACCTGCTACTGACCTGCTCCTTTCACCAAGGTCACCCTTGGTCACCCATACGGGTCTCAGCACCCTCCGGATTGGGCAGTCCCTTTTCCTATCTGACCTCCATTCATCTTACTGCAAGGTGAGTCCCTCAGAGTTGATCAATGTAATATTCTCTTGAGGGGGACAGAAGTGCCCTTTGGGACTCCTGCTCAGGTGCCAGCTGTCACAGATCACTTTCAGGGTTCTGGGGCAGGGAGCTGACTTTTGCCCAACATCACCCTCAGGGGATGCCCGTGTGAGTCTGTGTGTGTGAGCATTTGCATGTGTCCAAGTGGCTGTGTGTGTGTATGGGGGCGGTATTTTTGCTGGAGTTGGTCTGTGTCTGTCTTTTCTGTCTACTACATGCCTGTGGATGTGTGTGCCCAGACCTTTTGCCAGTGGTGCCAGTCTGTGTCTGCTTGTCTACCATCTACCTGCCTGCCTGCCATGTGCCTGTGTTCTGTGCCCCTGTGGCCATAGAGATGTTGTCTACATGTCAGTTCTGCCTGCATGTGTGGCCTGCGTGTCTGTGTGTGGCTGTAAGACTCCTCCTGTCTGTGCACCTGTCTACCAGCTGTCTGTGTATCTGTGCCGGTGTGTGCCTATTCTGTTGGGGGTTTGTCTGTCTGCCTATCCTTGTCTATCTGCACAGGAGGCAAGAACGCAATGCAAGGGAGACAGCAGAGCCAGGAGCTTGGCGCTGAGCCCACTGAAGTGGAATCTCGTGACTCACTGGGTTCCTTGGCCAAGTAACAGAGGAAAAAGGCAGGGCCTGGGGGTGCTGGACACCCCACTTTCCTTTTCTATGGACCCCTCCCTCCTGGTGACTCATTCTCTATTTATTCTTGTCCAGAAGAGGTCCTTGTCCAAGGGCCCAAGACAGAGCAGCAGGCCACGGACACCAGTTAGACTTCCCCAGGAGTCCTCAAGCCTCCTTGAGAGGCAGGTGGCCTGAATCTCCATGGTGATTGTGTCCTTCATGCAGGACCCTCGGCAGCATTGCCTATCTCTGGGCCTTGGTTTCCCATCTGTACCCAGAGGCTCTGTAGAAGCGCTCTGGGATGTTCTTTCTACTGAGGAAGGTGAAGCCAGCAGCCCACCTCTGGACACTGCAGAGCTGGGGCCCCTCTTCCTAGAGACCCAAGGCTGCTCCTGCCCCAAAATCCTCCAGCTGCTCTGGGGGCCCAGAATGGAGCCTTCTCCAGAAGCTGAGCAGAGCAGTTGTGCTCCCTGAGCCCCTAGCCAAGGACCCAGTCCTGGGCTGGAGGTCCACCTGCCTGGATCCCAAACAGCACCCCAGCTGAGGCTGGGGCTTCCAAACAGCAACCTTCGGTCAGCTGGATGCACCCAGAGCTCAGAGCAGCGTCCCAGGACTGAGTCTGAGACCCTGCTGATGTTGCAGCCAGTGGGGGTGAGTTGTGATGTGCTGGGGTCCCCCAAGCCCTTGGATTGTTTTGTATAAAACACCCACGAGGCTGAGTGATAACAGAATTCTGTGCTGCCAGAGCAGGCCAGAGCATGTGGGAGATAGGATCCCAGGCCAGGTGGAAGTATGTTGTGCCATGCCATGCAGTAGGCTTCGATTTTCTTTATTCATTCAACAACTATTTGTTGGACATTAGCTGTGTGCCATGCTCTGTGCTGGGTGCAGAGTGCTCAGGGTTGAACCAAATAGACCCAGGTACCATGGATGTGAAGTTTGCCATTTCACAAAAACGAGAAGATGGACACATAAATGAACAAAAATTAGAGCAAGAAGTCATTCTAAAGATAGCCACATAGCATAAGAACCTGGAGTGCCATAAGAATCCAAATGGCCACTGGGGCTGAACTTCAGGAGGGAGGGGACAGAGGAGCAGGACGTGCTGGGAAGAGGAAGCCTTGGGCTACAGGAAGGAGCTGGAATTATCTTCTGTCACTGAGGAGATTCAAATGTGAGAGTGAAATAATCTAATTTACGTGGGCAAAAGTTCTCTCCGGCTGAGCTACAGAGAACAGATAACTGCAGGGTAAAAGTGGATTCAGAGAGGCAGGACAGGAGGTCATAATGTCACCCATGGTGGCTGGCAGTGGTGGCTATCAGAAGTGGACCTGTTTAGGGCATATTGTGGAGGTGGAATAGACAAGACTTGCTGCAGGATGGGATGTGGTGGATAAGAGAGGAGAAATCATGGAAGGCTGCTGGGTTTCTAGCCTGGCTGGTAAAGACGGCTGCAAACCTCTGCTCCAGCAGGGCACAGTGGCACACACCTGTAATTCTACCTGCTCTGAAGGCTGAGGCAAGAGGATCACTTGCTCTCAGGGACTCAAGGCCAGCCTGGGCCACATAGCCAGATCCTGTTTCTACATAAGTTTGGCAGAAAGGAGGGAGTGGTGAAGTAAACAAAGCAGGAGCAGCAGGGAAGTAGGGAGAAAATCAGATGAGCTCAGGGTACAAAAGCCAACTGAAAGCCAAGCTCACTGCCACACGCCTGCAACCCGAGGACTCTGGGAGGCTGAGGCAGAAGGATTGAAAGTTCAAGCCCTGCTTAGGCAACGTAGTGACTTAGTGAGTCCCTGTCTATAGAGCTGTAGCTCAGTGTGAAGGCCTTGGGTCCAATCCCTGGTACCACCCACCTGAAAAAAAGAAGCCAACTGAACAAATGTTTCAAGGAGGAGGGAGAGGGCTGGGGTATAGCTCAGTGGTAGAGTGTGCACCTAGGAGAGGCCCTGGGTTTAATCCCAGCACCAAGAAAAAGGGAGTGAGAGATGAGCTGCAGGTACCCTACAAAGATCACTGTGACAAGCAGAGAGGGGTTCACAGGAGGATGGAGCTGGCCTCTGACGGCAGCAGGAGCAATCACGGAGAGAGGACACCAAAGTGAGGCTGGAAAAGAGGAAGGGATACAGGACCAAGGCTTGGGCATGAACACATTATCACTCTCAGGTCCTGTAGAGAAACCAGCAATGCTGATCTTGAATTCATAATTAGCCCAATAGCTAGTGCACACAGCAGATGCCAAACACAGCCCTTACCCCAGCTAATCCTGTCAACACCACCTTACAGATGAAAAAGTCAAGGCTCAGAAAGACTTTCTGGCTTGCTCAAAGTCACACAGCTGTTGGGGACAAAGCAGGAACTTGTCCTCACCTCCCGCTCCCTCCACCCCAACCACTCTGCCTCTGCAACAGCCACGGTGGTCTAAGGAAAGTCAGCTCTTACTTGGGAGTGTTTGAGGTCATCAGTTGTGACCAGAAGTGGGGAAATGCAGACAAAAGAAAGAGCTTTCTTTCCCTGCCCTGTCAGATTTCTGCACCATGGTGCTAGGAGCCAGTTGAACCCAAAGAGCCCCTGGGTGCTGTTTCCTTACTGTTTGCTTCGTAAATTGCCATTTCTGCATCTCTGTCTATGGCTAGATTGCTAGTTCTTTCACTACTCCATGAGAAGACTCCTATCTCTCAATTTCTGCTGTCCTGCAAACAGCATCACTTTTGCTCGAGAATGCTGCCTGGGAGCACTCAGCCTGGCATTATCACCCAAGAACATCTTTGGAGCTGCTGTTGTCCCCAAGTGACTGTGTACAGGAAAATTTCCACATCTTACTTGACATTTCCTGGAAGTCTCCATCACTGCAGCCAAGAATGTTAATAAATAAAAAAGTCCCAAATATCCAAGAGGCCATTCCATGGCTTCAAGCATGTTTTACAAAAACCTTTGTATTTTGATCTCTAAAGTGGTAGAGTAAA